GGGCACGCGATTGGGCCACACGGGCACAGGGCCAAGTACATGGTCGGGCCACACGGGCGCTGCGCCGGGCTGCACAGGCGACGTGCCGAGCACCATGCCGGCTGCACATGCAACGTGCCGAGTATCATGTCGGCCACACGAGCGACGTGCCGAGCACCACACCTGGTTACACGAGCGAGGGATTGGTTCACAGCCAAACACACGCAATGGCTCATGAGTGGCATGATGCACGGCTCATGGTCATATGTCTTGGGCACGAGACTAGATCGGAATTGGATTTTACAGGCACAACGCCTGGCACAAGGGTTAAGCACAATGATCGGCACATGGCCGGGCACGTAGCCGGTCCATGGCCGGGCACGTAGCCGGTCCATGGCCTAGATGACGGGCACAATGGCCGGTCATGTCCGGGCACAAGTCGGCGCGGCTGGCACATAGCCTAGTCCGCGACCAAGAGCACATGGCTCATCCATGGCCTACCTGACTTGGCGCAATGATTCGTGGCCAATTCGCGATCGGTCCACATTCGAGTATCACTGATCCATGATCGACCCTCGGTTGTCATGTGGCCTTGTGGAATTCAGTACCTCGGAATTAACTCATGGTCATCCGTGGCTGATACATGGCCGTGTGGTATCACCCGTGACCAACACATGCCGACACCGGACCGATCCATAGTTATCCCGGACTGTTCCACTAACGGCCCTTATGGTCGAAGGGTCACTCCACGGTCATATTACTCTAATCATCTTGCGAAGTCAGAGAGTCATTCCACTGTCAATCCCTAGATCAATTCATGGACAATCTTTCGATCGAACCATGATCAACCCTCAGTACACTCGTTCCGATCATATTGTCAGTTCCATTACCGACCCTTGGCTCGGACTACTTGCTCATCCATTTATCACTAGCCCTTGGCTCCTAGGGCCAAAATCGGGGATGTCATAGAGAGTATACCTCACTTCCTACGCAATCAAAGATCTAGGGTCGAGAACTTAATTACACTAGTTATCTAACTAGTACGTTTTTGGTACCTAAACTCGATCATTTATTCACTAAAGAGTTTAGGTATTTTTTTTAATCAATAATGAGTCATAATATTCTTGTCCGCTAAATGTCCATGCAGTTTTTTTGGGTTTATTATGCTCCTATGATTTAGCCTAGCCGTTGTAAAAAAGAAAATAATAATCAATGTATTGAAAGTGCGCAATCAATTAAAATTGAAATTGAAATGCACAAACAACGGCTAGGCTAAATCCCTAAGAGTTTATTTAATTTTGAGTTCAATTTTTGTCCAAGGGTTTTAACATTTTTTTATGCTAAAACCTAAAATGTTTATTAATCCCCAAACTATGTGAATTCTAATCAAGGAGGATCTAAACTAATTCTAAACTAGAATTTAACACTAAAATCTAGTAAAACTAATAAAAATTCTATTTTAAAGATTTTTCTTAATTTTTATTTTCTAAAATTTTCATTTTTTAAAAATATAATTTTATTTTTATTCTAAAAAAATGGGGACTCGGATTGGGTTAGGGAACCCGGTCCGAATGTCGGTCTTGTCCGCACTCTATAAGGCCGGGCTGGCTCTATTATTCGGATTAGCCCACGGCCCCGATCGAATACGGGTTTGATATGATGGGCTTGAGCTCAAGCCCAATTCTTCCCTATTCATTCAAAGCCCAGCCTCATTACTATCCAGCCCACTTGGTTTGATCTTATTTATTTGATTAGATTAGTTTGGGGTAAATTTATCATAGCGCTTTCCTTCGCTAGTGTTCTTTGGCTCAAAGACGCAGGTAAGAGTGAGAAAAGGGGAAGAGCTTATCTGGGCCTTTTTTCCTTTTTTTTTATCCTTGGACTTTTTTTTTTGGTCGATTATCCTTGGACTTATGTGAACCCAAATTTCATGGATTAGTTTCTAGGCTATATTAATGAGCTAACGGATAGCGGGCCGAAAGCTCACGGGCCGAAAGCTCACGGGCCAATGGGAAAATGAGTATTGGTGCGACTTACGAATTGGGTTGTGTGTATGGACTACCAGGCTTTATTTTCTCTTATTTATTATTGTACTTTTTTGTTTTGCTATTTTTCTATTTTTAATATATTTACAAAACTGGACGTTTGGATGGTTGACAAAAATTTAGGTGCCAACACCGGTTGATGGGGTCCTCGAGGCCCTGTTTACCCTTGCCAGCCACAAAATCCAGTGAAGGAAAAAAGAAAAAAGAAAGAACAGAAAAAAAAGAAAATTTAAAAAGATTTGCAAAGTTGTTCATGTTAGTATCAGCCGTGCCACATAGGATGGCTAATGCTGATTGGGTATCCACGTAAGCATTTCTTAGCCAAAATCGGTGACTATATTGGCAAATAATTAAAATGTTTAAGACAAAATTGACAAAGTGAAAAAGTTTAGGATTGAATTAGCCTCCGTGCAATAGATTTAAGACTCTTTGTACAATTATCCTTTTTTTGTGCAGTTCTCGATGTCTCTCATTTTACCAATACAACATGTTTATGACCAACTCATGCTATTGATTTACAATGTAGTATATGGGCTTTTATTGAGTGCTTTGATTATGTGTCACTAAAACTAGTTCGGTTTATGAGGCGAGGTGTGCCAAACTCATCTTGATTATCGCTATGAAAATAAATGTTCATTACTCAATCAAAACTTGTTGTGATAATCAAGATAATTTTACCAGTTGAAGTAGACAATTGAGGGAAACTTAGCATATTTTTTCAGTTAACTACCGCTATAAGAGAGTGGTGCGAGAAGAGATCCAAAAAGGACTGAGAAGAATTTTGCAATTCCTTTGGGTGACCAAACTAAAGATTTCGCTGCCAAGGGCTGTGCTGACTGGCCTTTGGCGCTTCGCTTCGCTTTGTTTGTAGATGGCAGAAATAGCTTAATAATAGAGCATAGCCTTTGTGACTAGAGCTTGGGGTTCGAAGAAGAAAATGGTACTTCGCTTCGTCAGTTTTTCGAGAACAAAACATTTGTTCGCGACAATACACATAAAAGTAGCGGTTTAGTACGTGCATAAACTAGCTTTGCTAATTGAAAATCAAATTATACATATATAGTTGATATTGGGTTGATCATCAATAGTTAATGTTAGAGGTGATCATAAGATTGGCCTAGTCGGGCTTGCCGGATTAAGCCTAACTTATTGCACAGGTTTGTCCTTTAACAAAATTTATGATATAGATTGGGTGAACTTGGGTTGAGCCTAGCAAGTTGGGGTCGGGCTTTATAACCAAATGTCCTTTCTCAAGCATGTTCCAAACGGTCTTCTAGCCTATACTACCCAAACATGCCTACGATCAACTAAGTTCATAATCAACTCTAGTCAATATACGAACACAAATTTCAATTACTAATAACGTTGCTCATCCATTTCAAATGTTTTTAAAGTTAATGTAGTTCCATTGACTAAAAAATGCCAAATACGAGAGATTGGTAACGAAATACTAATATTTGAACACGACTCAAGTATAATTTGTTGCCTATCACTTTCGTGCAGTTCAATCAACGAACGCACAAAACAATAAAAATCCTTCATGGATTAAATTTTATTTATCATTAGTGCACGTATTATTTCTTTTTTGTATAGACTCAATTCATGTCGATCATGAATCGAGCGATACGAATCATGTTGATATTTTACTTCAATCGATTTTTCCGAAATTAGGCGAATCGAATGCATGCCGCACATGTGCAACGGAAAGTGCCAAAAAGTCCTAAACCTTTTGCATTAGTCCAATTTAGTCCTAAACCTTTTTGGTGCCAATTCAGTCCTAAACCTTTTGCATTGGTGCCAATTTAGTCCTAAACCTTTTTGGTGTCAATTAGTCCTAAACCTTTTAAATTGGTGCCAATTCAGTCTAAACCTTTTGTTTTGTGCCAATTTAGTCCTTCCGGTCAATTTTGACCGGAATTTGCGCGTGGACGCGCTGGCTGGCGATCGGTCATCGCGCGACGTGGCGCCGACATGGACAAATTTAATAATATTTTAATATTTTTTGAATTTTTATTTTTTCCTTTTTTTCTTTTTTTGGCTTTCTCCTTCCTCCGGCCGGCGAGCCTCGACCTCGCCTCCCACCGGGAGGGCGGCCTCGCGGGCGAGGCGAACCTCGCCATGGTCGGGCGAGGCCCGACCTCGCCGGATCTCGCGAGGTCGAGCCTCGCCCACCGCCGGCGAGGCCGGGCCTCGCCCGACCATGGCGAGGCTCGAGCACTCGCCGGGAGGCGCCGGCGAGCGCGAGCCTCGCCATGGTCGGGCGAGGCCCGACCTCGCTCGGATCTCGGCGAGGCCTGGGCCTCGCCGGCGGCCGGGCGAGGTCGGGCGAAGTGGCGAGGCCCGACCTCGCGGACTCGGCGCGAGGTCGAGCCTCGCCAGCTGGGGCGAGGCCCGACCTCGCGTATCCGGCGAGGCCTGGGCCTCGCCCGACCATGGCGAGGCTCGCCTCGCCGCGGCCTCCGGCGAGGCTCGCCCTCGCCCGGCGAGGTCGCCTCTCAAAGGGCCGGCGAGGTCGAGCTCGCTCGCCTCGGCCTCGATGGTCGCGGACCGGCGACCGGCCAGGGAAGGAGAAAGCCAACAAAAAAGTGGAAAAAAAAAAAAAAAAGGAAAAAATAAAATTCAAAAAATATTAAAAATATTATTTAATTTGTCCACGCCAGCGCCACGTTGACGCCGGCGGACGGTCGCGGCCGGCAGCCGTCCACGCCGGCAAATTCCGGTCAAAATTGGCCGGAAAGACTACATTGGCACAAAAACAAAAGGTTTAGGACTGAATTGACACCAATTTAAAAGGTTTAGGACTTAATTGGCACCAAAAAAAGGTTTAGGACTAAATTGGCACCAATGCAAAAGGTTTAGGACTGAATTGGCACAAAAAAAGGTTTAGAACTAAATTGGCACTAATGTAAAAGGTTTAGGACTTTTTTCCCCATGTGCAACCATACCTTATTTTGAAAAGAAACTTCAACTTATATGCTCTCATAGTCTCGCCACCTTCAAATATACACAACCGACCGAAAGAGCAAACGGCATGCATGATCCGTTGTGGACTTGAACAACCCTAATCAATACAAACACCCATCCTCCCCATAGTATCATTAGGAATCTTCCTCTTCTCACATCGATCACCAATAAAGAACTCGAGGAAAAACGGCCAATAACTACAGTAAAAAGTAAGAATTCGAGAATAGAATATAATCCACATAAAGGAGAGGATACTTCCCTCAAACGAAAAACAAATTCTCATTCCTGGGCCACATAAAAGGCCTAATGTACCTTCTAAGATGGGGCGTTGTACTCTGATTCGATCACATCCACGACTATGCATGAAGCATTAATTAGTAATGAAACCCTAAAACAGAAAAAACAAAGGTGAGTACATGTTTTGGCTAAGAAACGAGTACAATGAGGGACGACATTATTATCTGGGCAGTAGCTAGAAATGTAGCACGTAGAGAGTCCCACTCAAAACAAGAGAAGTGGCAAAAACAGCGGCATTCATCTGCGAGTGGAGCGAACTGGAGGCCCCATAATCCTCTGGACGGTAGTAGTATGGGAAAGTCGACACTATAGGGTTTGGTGGAGGCGGGGAAACATAGATGCTTTGGGATTCAGGTGTCTCGCACACGCTGCAGGCCGGCGGCATCGGCAGCGGTGGGCACTCGACCTCCGGCGGGGGTGGAGACGGTGGCGGCGGGCACTCGACTTCCGGCGGGGGTGGAGATGGTGGCGGCGGGCACTCGACTTCCGGTGGGGGCGGTGGGGTTGAAGGCACAGGCTTGCACGGATTGTCGCATTCGGCGCTAATTGTGCATGTAACTTGGTCTCTGGAGACTACTGCTGCAACCGTTGGTGGTGTTGTTGACGCTTCAGTTTTGACCGCGACCGTCGTTGCTGTTGACGTAGTTGATGGGATTGCGAAGCCGAAGATTAGGACGGTGAAAAACAAGTATAGCAGGGAAACTTTTGTCGGGTCAATCATTATTGCTGTGGTTCAATGGGAAACAGACCAAAATCCTCCGAAGAAGGAGGAGGAGGAGGAGGAGGAGGAGGGCAGTGAATTTGGAGAGATGTGAGAAACTGAGGATTCTTTAAGGAGGGTGGCGAGGAAGGAATAAATACTAGATGGTAGAGGGCAAAATTGTCCAAAATGTCCTGAATTTATTACACTTTTACTAATTCAATTCTAAATATTTTATTTTACCAATCGAGTCATAAACCTCTTCACTTTTTACAAATTTAGTCCATCCGATCAATTTTAACTGGAAATTGCTGACTTGGATGTCGGTCATCCTACGTGGCATGGCCGGCGATGGTCGACGTTGACATCGATAATTTTTAATAATATTTTAATTTTTTTTTAATGTTTTTAATATTTAATATTTTTATTTTCCTTTGTTTTTTTCTGAGTTTTTTTCTTTGCCGGTGGAGCCGTGAAGGCCCTAGGCATGGCCATTGTAGGACGGCCGGCTGTGTCATGTAGCGCTGGCCGGCGTCTACGTCAAAGATTTCCGGCCAAAATTAGCCGGACAATTCAATTGGCAAAAAATTAAAAGATTTATGGCTCAATTGAAAAAATTAAAATGTTTGGTACTTTTTGGAGCGCAGATTGTAACAACAACATATTTTGTGGTTTATCTTCTAGGGCAATATTATTATTATTATCTGGAAAAAGACAAAATAAAGGAATGGACCTAGAAGGAGAGGGGGGCTTTTTTGGCGTTTTTTTTTCTCTCTACGGCTGGCTAGGCAAAGGAGCTAAAGGGTTCGACCCCAAAAAAAAAAAAACAGGAGAATTGTTTGATGAGGCCAGCTCGACCTCCCCGAGTTGAGACATAACATATGGAAACGCCTTGGCAACATCTATATCGCGAATTAAGCGAACAAAATTGAAACGAAGGCAGTTTTCGCTCATGGAGCTAGTCATGGTTGGATTCCTTAAAGTTTATGCTCTCTTGTGGTAAAAGAATGTGTACTTGATGCTAGCATATGATACATAGAAAGGGAAATGTCTACATAACAGTTTGTCACTTGTTCACGAGCAACGGATAGGGGTGAGTATGATCCGGGTAGGCAGGTCCCACTGTGAAACCGGAAACTACTTGTTGGTTTTATGAAACCGGTCCCACCAAGCTTCAGATAAATGGAGGTGATTGAGAGCGAGAGAGAGAGAAACGATGAACGGCCGGAGGCGCGGTCGATGGGAATTGAGAGTCGAGGTCGTGAGTCGTTGGGCGTTAAGCTTCGAATTAGGGATTTTAGGGTTTTCATTTATCTTAAATTTTTTTTTGTGGCTGGAAATTTTACTTAAAAATTAAAACCGGGAACCGAATAAGTACTCACTGGTTCCAAATTAGAACCAGAAACCGTCGGTTTCGAGCCAGTTCTGGGCGGTTCCCGGTTCTTTTGCACACCTCTAGTAACGAACAATTATTAACCATAGAAAGTGTTGCTTTGAACCTTTTGACTAGCTTGTCCTGTTCCTGAAACATTGCCTTTTAATTTTGGGTTAATATCGTGAAAAACCCCAAACTGGTATACTTGTGACAAATTTACTATCCGTTAGTTTTTGTTAAATTTTATCGACAAATTACTGAGTTGGATGACACATGACAATTGACAGGTGAACCAGTTTGGGGTTTTACCCTTCCGTTTATCACAGGTTTACCAATTTATAATTTTTTGTGATACTTATCTAATTTAACGGAGGGTAAATTTGTTATAAGTGTACCAATTTGAGGTTTTTGGCGGTCAAAACATTAGTTTGGGGCAAATTTATCATAAGCGTACTTATTTATGGTTTTTCGTGATATTAACCCTTTAAATTTTAGACGCAAACTAAGAAACAATGTAAAAAAAAGGGCTAATTAAAAAAAGAACAATTTTACCTTGAGTGACAAATTTGGTCCAAAATTTTTTTTGTCTAAAAAAAAAATTACCAACATTTACCAAGATTTAAATGTTGTACTATATGAATAAATCTATTATATGAGCATTATGGAATTTCGTTATGATAAAATGTAGAGTTAAAAAAAAAGATCATACCGCAAAGTTGTTCACAAAGGAGAGACGGGATGAAGATTGAGATTCAAGAGAAGTAGTTAGCAAGAACAAATAAGGGCAAGCCTTGCCATGGCTGATGGAGCAAGTTCAAGCCTAGCTATGCTAGCCTAGCCATGGCTGGGTGAAGTAATCAACTTAAACATTACCAGAGAAAAATCGATGAATTCGAGGCCAAACGGCAACTAATCAAGTACTAGGACTCTATCGGTGATAGCAAGTCAAAGCGCAGGTTGAACTTGATGACATTAGGAACTCCTACTCTGGTTTGATGAACGGCGGATTGATCGATTATTTTTTGGAATCTTTAGCGTCATTCAAACTCGAGATCCTTGGAGACAGTCGCGAGGCTCAGAAAATTACCTTGGTTCAACCACAGAGATGAGAGACTTGTGTCATTGATGAGGATGGGAACGAACAAGCCAAGGAGGACGAACTCGCGAATGGAATGGTTGAAAAGGGCAAGGCTTGAACTCATCGGATCTGGTGAGGCGAGCTCGCCCTCATTGGCCCTTGCCTTTGGCCAGTCGCCGAGGTCCGACAACCGGCTAGAGGAAGAAGAGAAAAAAAAAAGAAAGTACAAAAATAGAAAAAATATTATTAAAAATTATTCATGTCAGCGCCGGCCCACTACATAGGCCTCTAGCATCCATGGCAGCGATCTCCGTCCAAAATTGTTAGGACGGACTGAATTGACACAAATGTAAAAGGTTTAGAACTCAATTGACACAAAAAATATTTAGAACTGAATTGACACGAGTGCAATAATTTGAAATCATTTTTTTTTGTTGAAGAGTATTTTGGGAATCAAATCGTTCCATAAAGAATGATGTAAGGGCACTTTCATACTACGCGCGGTGGTTGTGCATGGATTCTTCCTAGAGACATCGTCCGCAAAAATAAAACTTTTGATAATTGACGGGTGTACCATATGACGTTGACACAAGCCCCACATGTCCTTAATATGTCCTCAATCAACATTTTCTTTTCCCACCATCTAAATTAGAATTTCATCACACCATTGCATCGGATCTGTCGTTCTCTCTATTGGCGGATCAACGATCTGCTTTCCCCGCAAGCGTACGAGAAAACACGTGCCGAACATTCGTGGAATTTCAGGTGGACAAAGTTTAATTACCTCTTATGCGTGATTGACGGTAATGGGACGACAAAGGTAATTATCTCGTTCCGTTCAAAATTCACGTTGAAGAAGATGCGCGGTGGTTGCAAGATTTCTACATTGATCACGGTTTCCGCGAACGATACACCTGTTTTGACCAAGACTCCGATCATGGTCTTCCAGAAAAATCTTGTAAGAGTCCTCTTGGAGATTCTATGGCGTTAGGTACAACCGGTGAATGTGAACTCTCGGATTATTTAGGTTTGGGTTAGGTGACATGCAATTGAGGGAAATATTATCAAAAGAATCCTAAACTTATTGCATTCGTATCATTTCTGTCCTAAACATTTCAATCATGTCAATTGAGTCCTAAACCTTTTCACGTTTGCTAATCGAGTCAATTTAGCGAATTTTAACCGGAAATCGCTGACGTGGATGTCGGTAGTGTCACATAGGACAACCGGCACTGACGTGTTTGAATTTTTTCTTTTTCTTTCTTTTCCCATTTTTTTCGTACCAAGTCTTGTGAGAGTCGCCGACCGACTCTAGCCGATTGCAGGCAAGGGCCGATCGACTCTCGTCGACCACAGGCAAGGGCTTGCAACCCTCATTGGCTACCGGGCGGGGACCACAAAGCCCTTGCCCGTGGCCGGTGAGGGTTGGCCAACAATCCTCGCCGGGCTTGGAAGAAAGAAAATGAAAAGAAAAAATAAAAAAAATTTTAAAAATTGTCCACGTCAGTGTCAGTCGTACCACGTAGGATGGCTGGCGTTCAGGTTAGTAATTTCCGGCTAAAATTGGCCGGACGAACTCAATTGACAAATCATAAAAAGATTTGTTGTTTAGAATATTGTAGAGTGTCTTTATATCAATGTTTTTTAATCAGTAATGGATTTGTCACCGATATAATTTTATAGAATGCGATTAATAACTCTAGTTGATCTTTACAAATATATAAGCCTGTCAAATGAGTAGGTTGGGTCAATCCAAATTAATCTATTTAATGCACGTGCATCCTGCAAAAAGAGATTAGGCGTTATCATAATCTATATTTTGCATATGCATCGCAATCTTTGTTGTTTGAACCGAAGCCTACGCATTGGTTCGTCTGGCGTTTAGCCTAGTTTTAAATTCAATAGAAGTTTTCAGGAAAAAAAGAAGAAGACTAGGGGCGTTTAGCCTAATTTAAATTGGGAAAATGACACAAATAGTCCCTGAACTTTGACTCATTATGCAATTTGGTCCCTAAACTTTTAATTTGTTCAATGTAGTCCATGAACTTTAACCCAATGTTCAATATGGTCCCTGAACTTTTAATTTATTTAATGTGGTCTCTAAACTTTTGGTACATGTTCAATATAGTCCCTGAACTATATAAAAATGTACAATATATTCTTTCCATTAATTCAAGTTTAGAGACTATATTGTACATTTTTATATAGTTTAGGGACCATATTGAATATGTACCAAAAGTTCAGGAATCACGTTGAACAAATTAAAAATTCAGAGACCACATTAAACATTAAGTTAAAGTTCAAGGACTACATTAAACAAATTAAAAGTTCACGGACTAAATTACACATTACTAAAGTTCATGGACTGTTTGTCTCATTATCCCTTTTAAATTCAACAAAAGTTTTTAGACGAAAAAAGAAGAAGACTAGGGGCATCTTTATTGCTCGTTGGTCTTCTCTTTAATTTTTTTTATTAATAGAAAAAGCAAATCAAGTCAAGTCGTGCTGAGTCTCAATTTTCTATCAAAGCACTAAGAACATTGCACCTTCGTCAATCACAGGCGAGAGCCGACAACCCTTAACGGCTATTTGGTGAGAGCCATAAAGCCCTCCCTGAGGCTAGT